TTTTTTAAGACTTGGGTAAAAAGACATTAGTTAGCATCTCACTCATAGATGCTGATTTTCCTAAGGGCTGAGTACATCCATGGAATATTTATTAATCACACTGTGTGACACCGTGAAGGGACTTATAGTGTCACTCGCCGCCTTAGAGCCTTTCTGGAGCAAGCCAGGATATAAATAAAGCTATTTTGTTAAGTGTGGATTTCCCCTTCATCACGCGATGGAAGGCAGACTAAAGAGAGGCAGCAGCTATATGCACACAAACTAAATGATGAACGAAATATGCATCGAGGGGTGAAGTGTAAATTGCAAAGTGCACAGATTACGATTACGCAGATCTCGATATCTCGTGAACATGTAATCTCAGCCCTGCAACACTACAGAAAAGCCGGATCGAATGTGGCTGGAATCAACCCTGAAGAGACCTTAGAAAATACCTAAAGCAAGTTCCTCACATTACAGATGAGTAAACGGACCGTGCAAAGTATTTTGCTCAAGGTCATCTATCAAATTGGTAATTTAATTAATTCAGTGTGTTAGAAGCAGGGATACTGGAAAAGCACGGTCTGAGGAACCTGAAGTCTTGGGCTCTTGGTCTAAAATGTGTGCCTCCGGCAAATCTCTTAACGTGTTGCCATGTAGTAAGTGCTCGCCATGTGCTAAGCAATCTCCCTTTCATCTTGTGCCCTTTGCATGCAGAATTTAACTGCTGTTGTCACCATTTAATGGAGGACGTTGAGGCTTAGAGATACTAGTAATGTAGCCATGTCACACACTTAGAAACACTGTAGAAGTAATTCAAACCCTAGACTTCCAAACCGGGTCATCTTACTACTGCAGTACACTGAAGCTTCTTCACATTCCCTCCCACCTAAGGCTGCAACTGCAACACTGCCTCTCACAGTTCTTGAGTCAAACAAAATGGTGTGTGTGTGGCTGTGGGTTGGCAGCTCTAAAGGGGTATAAACGTATTAGCTGGATTTCTAGAACAAGTGCACAGATCTGTAATTTCCACCGAAGCCCTTTAACCTAGAGATGGCTTTAGTACTGAGCTCATCGAAGAGGGAGACTGCTTTCAACGCATTCCCACCAAGAAGGTTATCAGAAGCAATAGCCACAGAGAATGCATTCAATTCCTGATAGACCAAGACTAGTAACCCTATTGACACTTTCTAGAAGGATCATTGAGGAGACACTGTGGTGTGCCTTGTTTTTTTAAGGGATGAAGGATGGATGGCAACCTCCTGAACAAATGATGTCAATGTTTACTTTGGGAATAAAGGCTTATTTGGAATAAGGAAAACCTCCCTATAATCAAAGGGAAATGAGAGGAGGGTCAGTGAAGAGGGAAGTCAGATAAGCTCATGCACACTGGTAAAGGGTTATGGACCAAAGCCCAGAAATGTGGTCTGATACACAAATGGGCTTTTTGGAAGTAGTCCATTTTAATTCCATTTTTCCACAAAGTTTTTGAAAGCCCCTCATGCGGGTATATAATTGAAAAGCATGATACAGCCTTTAAGGCCAAAATAATGCCAGGGTGGGTTATTTGTTGGGCTGTTCACCACCTGGTCAGCAGTTTA